GAAGTTACAGGTTAATCTAAGCCCCAACTTAATGAAGATCTGTTACCGTAACGCAAGCCTATTTTTCAAACTTTCGTTGTCTGTGGGATTTGAACCCTAGACCTGCTACTTGGAGAGGGTGACAACTTAACCACTTCACTAAGCTGCCACACCCCCATCTGCCAATTCTTTGATAATACAGTAAATATAAATATTATATTTATATTTTTCATAAATCCATCATTCTTACCTGCTAATAATTCCAACCGGTTCATTCATTCATACCTGCTAATTATTAATAATAAATGAATGTCTTTTATTCTAACTCGTCTTGATTATTTGTATCTGCTAAATTTGACATAATACAATATTTCATTTACTCCAACTCATATTTCATTTATATAATTTAGATCATTCTCACCTGATTATAATTCTGACCGATCATTTATTTATACCTGCTAATTACTGATAATAAATAAATGCCTCACTTTTTATCTTTAACTCAAAATCCACTTTGTCTTTTGCTATAATGAATGATATCCTTCTTTTATTCCGTTCAGATAGTTCACATCTACCAATTTTTGATAATAAAAATAAATGCCATATTTATATCTCTATTAAATCCAACTCTGTTCATAATAATAGTCAAATAAACAATTCTGATCAGACCATTTATTTATACCTGCTAATTATTGATAATAAATGAATGCCTTTTTATCTTTAACTCCAAATCCATACTATCTTGATCTTTCGTACCTACTTATTTTTGTTATAATGAATGCCTTATTTCCATCCTTTTTAACTCCAATGTCATTCTGTTCAGATAGTTCACATCTACAAAATTTGATAATAAAAATAAATATATTTATATCCTTTATAATTCAATTTTATTTATAACAAAAGTCAAGCCAAAATATTCGCCTGGATCATTCTTACCTGCTAACAATTCTGACCAGTTTATTCATTCATACCTACTAATTATTAGTATTTACTTTTATTCTTCTCAACTCCAATTCTATTCTGTTTTGATCATTCGTACCTGATGAGTTTGATATAAATGAATGTTTCATTTTAATTCCAATTCATATTTCGTTTAGATTATTTAGATTATTCACAACTACCAATTTTTGATAGATGCCAATTTACATCCTTCATAAATCCAATTCATTTGTAATAGTAGCCAAGCTAAAATGTTCCATCTAAATTATTTTCACCTGCTCATAATTCCGACCAGATTATTCATTCATACCTGCTAATTATTGATAACAAGTAAATGCTTTATTTGTTATCCTTAACTCCAAATTCATTTCATCTTGATTATTCGTACCTGCTTATTTTTACTATAATGAATGCCTCATTTCATCCTTCTTAACTCCATTTTTTCATTCCGTTCAGATAGTTCACATCTACCAATTTTTGATAATAAGAATAAATTTTATACTTTATATCCTCACAAACCCAATTAATTAACAAGTCAAAATAAAATATTCTGCCTGGATCATTCTTACATGTTAACAATTTCCGATCGGCTCATTTATTATATCATTAATAATAAATGAATACTTACTTTTATTCTTAACTCCAATTCCATTCCTCTTGCTGTTTCGTATCTGTTGAGTTTTGATATAAATGAATGTCTTATTTTCTTCCTTCTTAACTCCAATTCCATTTCATTTAGATTGTTTGGATCGTTCATACCTGCCAATTTTGATAATAAAGATAATGCAAGTTAAAATGTTTCGTCCAGATCATTCCCACCTGCAATTCCATCTCTTACGATCCACTAATTTTAGATAATCAATAAATGCCTTATTTGTATTAATATGGCATGTAGACGAACTAAATTGAACCAAATTATAAAATTTAGAATTCTATAAATCCTGAACTGCTAAATTTAAATAAATTCACTACTTACTTAAATGTTAAATTTAGTCAAAAATACAATTTAAACTATTTATAAGCTTAATAATTAGCATATACATATAACTGGCATGAATAAAAAAATATTTAAAATATATAGTTAAAAATATGACAAACCTTAAATTGTTAGAATTTATGCGTTCATTAACTAAATTAATAATATTACAAGGATAAATCGAAAATTGATAAAGAGATTCTGCTATGTTAATAATTATGAGATATATACTATATATTAATAATGTGAAATTAGAATATTATTATATATGAGTGTCGCCAAAAGAAACCCCAAAAATTTAAATATAGTCTATATTTAAATTGTCAGGTTTTCTTTTGGCGACACTCATATATATATATATATAATCAACTAGAAATACCTACCTTTGAATATGCAGTATTTAATTCATTGCTATCATAATAAATTAAATTTTTTTGCTTACAAAATTTTAAAATGATATATAATAAGAACTAAAAGATTTCTAAAGCCTAATTGATATATTAAACGTTTAATTGATTGATAAAATATTTTTAAGATACAGTACATCTTAGAATATTCATAGCAAAATACAGTATATTCTACAAGGATTGAAACTATTTAATCGTAAATTTTTTGTTTTTTTCAAAAAAAGTAGAAACATTATTTCTATAAAAATATAAAGCACGTTGTTTAAGATCCATAATTTCCATAATTGCTGGTTTTCTTATATCTTTCGATCCACCATTCTTAAAAGTTTTTTGAAAAAATTGGCATACATGCTGATGGTTTTTTTTTTTGACCCCAGAACAAGAGAATGCTGCCATTTTAAACTGGTAATGTTCATTTAAAAACTCTGGTACATGAAAACTAAAACATAAATGTATGGTGTAACATCTGCTAGTCGGTATATCCCTTTCTTAAAGGTATGTGTATTGTATTGTTCAGTTGAAGGAGTTAAAAATAATTGCAACCATGTTTTAGCTTTTTGTTTAAAAATATCACCTAATATATTAGAGTTTTTGAGATTTTCATATAATTCATAAAAATTACTCTATAAATTTCGAATTAAATTGGCTCTTTCTTCAGAAAAAATTGTTTTAAGATCAAAATTTTTTAATATGATAAGCTTGTCTTCACCCATAAGTGGAGTTGAATTCCAGTTTGTGTTTTCTTGCTAGTAATGAAATTTAACTCCAATATTCTTTATTTCATCCATAATTTTTTTTGCATATCATTATCAAATCTATTACTTGTCTTTAATTCAGCAATTAATAAATTCTACAATTTATCTGTAATATGTAGCATAATGTGGAGTTCATCAGCTATCCAATTTTCATTGGAATCATTGAGAAAAGTGGTTTATTATTATATCCTGGAGTTATAGCATAGTTACTAGCAATTTTTTTATATTTTTTGAAATATACCAATTGCCATTTTCTGGATTTACATAGCTAATTGTATTTTTTTTGCAGTTACACCATAGACAAAAGCATCACAATTAGCTGCCTTGTGACCTAAGCACATTGCTATAAATTTCCAATTAGCACTTAAATAAAGCTCTACATTCCATTTTCTTCCTTGATAATCTATAAATCCGGGTTTAATATCATTAAGATCTTTTATCAATAACTTTGTTGCTAATTTTAAAGTTTTATAACTTTCAATACCCAGATAGAGTATTAAAGTATAATGATAATTAGGTTCATAATAATTTAGTGAATTGTTTAAAAGCATAAAGGTTATTATGACATATTTAATTTTTCTTCCTACATTACACCCATCACCAGAAAGTCAAATTTTTAAAACAGGATCTTGAACACTTAAGCCTCCATTTTCTAACCATGCTGGGATTGTATAGTTAAGTATATCTTTTATTGATCGATAGATTCTTTTTTTTATTTTACAATTTTCTTTTTCATAAAAAAGTTTATCATCTATTGATTCTTCAAGATCAAATATATAAACTTTAATTGCTTGAGACATTTCAGCTACAATTTTAGCCTGGGTTTCAGATATTAACCATTCTCTAGATAAATGATATTCAATTCCAGTTAATGATCATAGAGCTTCTCGTGTAATTTTATAACGATCCATAGCATAAATTATTGATTTAACTCGAAGGTCTTCTGTATATTTATCTAATATTCCATAATTAATAATATATTGTATATTATTAACACTAAATAAAACTTGCTTTAATAAAACATTAAATAATGTTTTTGAATTTTGATCTACAAAATCTTTAATTATATTTCCAAATTTTTGACCATGTATTTTTTGAGATGAATTTGCTAATTGATTAAAAGGTTTTAAACTATGTTTTCTATGTTTATTTTCTTAAACCTTTTTGATATTTTGTAATTGTAATCCAAAAATTTCTATTCCATTAAGGCGAGTAGAACCATATAATTTATATGGATTTTTTAATTGAGCTATTTTGTTTAATGCATCTTGATACAAATTAGCTACTTTACTTGCAGATTTTTTTGATTCAACAATTTGATTTTCAAATTCAATACGATATAAAGGTTTGTTATTTATATAATTAATTAAACATTTAATTGTTTGTTGATTAGATCTTTTGCCAAAGGTTGTTTTTACAATATATTTATCAGGTATTTTATATTTATTAGGAGGAAATATATATGCTAATATAGGTGATAAAGGATAATAACCTTCTTGTATAATTTCATAACTAAAACTATATGTTTTAGTTTGAGCTTTTATAATTGAATTTTGTGGATATGTATTAGTTTCTTGATATCATGTCATAATTGTGTAAAAAACAAATTTTGTTAAAAAAAAATTATATATATATAATATTTATTTATAGTATTTGTTTGTAATACAATATATATTATTATATAATATATATATAATTATAGTCAAATGACTGACGCATATTTTTAAATTTATTATAGTATAAAAATTTGATGATCAAAATCAGCTGATATGAAGTAAAGTTACTAATTTTTTTAACAAATATAAAAATAAAGTAATACAAACAATAGAACAATACCAGAAGGTTTTAAAATTATTTAGTATTAGTTTTTTTTTAGTAGACTTTACTTTGGACAAACATGGTATTTGCTAAGTTAAACTTTAATATAACTAGATCTATAAACCAAATTAAGATATTTAATAATACCTCGTTTTTTAACTTTCTTTATAACAAAGTTATAGATATATTTTAATTTTTAGGCTTCTAGTAGTATATTATATTTGGTAATAACTTTATAAACAGATTTGTAAAATGTTACTACTACATTTTAGTATTTTATTATACAAATATAAATTCTTTTTAAGTTTGTTTCCTTTATACCTTTTTATAGTATTTCAAATTCAAAAAGGTTAGTATTTTTCAAAAGATCTAATTTTGTGTTTTTTGCAAAGTATATTTGTCAACACTTTTTCTCTCTGATATCAATCTGTTAATTCAAATAGCTGAGATATTTATTTTTTAAAATAAGCTATTTACTTTGCTAATATTTTTTAAAAAATCAAATTGATTAAATCCAAAATTTCAAAAAACCTAAACTTATTATATATGGCTCTTGATATAATGAATATTGCTTAATACTGAGAATAATAATAGTATAACAGAACAAAGGAATGGGACAATGGCCTCCATTATATCAAGAGCCACATGTAGTTTCTTATAAGTATTTATTGGCAGATAAATATTTATACTCTTAATTATAATATGATTTTAAATCCATGAATTAACAAATGATCTTTATATTTACAAGTTAAGTAATCAAAACAATTTGATAAATAAAATTTAATGATATATTATATAAGTATGAAATAACTCTTGTAGCTATTATTTTGGAAACTGTATTTATCAAAATACATGGTCTTAAATTAGAACTTATCCCTTAATATGTAAACCAACGCAGGCAAATTTGCCTGCGTTTTTGTACTTTTTTAGCTCTGATTTACTTTTTTAAAATGCTAAAATATTTA